TATATGCACCAAATACTGGTACACTCAACTACATAAAACAATTCACAGACATAAAAAAACAAATAAGCACTAACACAATTGTAACGGGGGACCTTAATGCCCACTCTCACAATTAGATCAACTAGACACAAAATCAACAAAGAAATTAAATGAAACTGAATTAAATCCATCAGAATTAAATCAAACCTATGAACAAATGGGACTTAGTAGGTGACTACAGAGCATTCCATCCCACGACATCAAAATACACATTCTCCTTGGCTGCACAAGGGACGTTCTCCAAAATAGATCATATCAGCCCATAATACATGCTTAAGTAGATGTCAAGGAAGTGAAATCATCCCATGTATATTATCTGACCATAGTGCAATGAAATTGGCTATCAATGGCAAAAGAAACCACAAACACTAGATAAACACATGGAAATTAAACATCACCCTCCTGAACAACTAATGAGTCACAGAGGAAATTAAAGAAGACATTAAATAGTATCTACAATTAAACAATAATACCAATACAACACACTGCAACTTATGGGATGCAATGAAAGCAGTCCTACAAGGGAAATTTATAGTGGTGAATTCTCACATCAAGAAAACAGAACAAGCTCAAATAAACAACCTAATGTTGAACCTCAAACTTCTAGAAAAAGCAGAACAAATCAAACCCAAAGCTCATATGAAAGAGGAAATTATAAAGATAAGAGAAGAAATTAATGCAATTGAGACTATGAAAACAATACAAAGAATCAATGAATTGAAGAGCGGGTTCTTTGAAAGATTAAAAATTGATAAACCCCAACCTCATCAAAAACAGAAAAGACTCAAATTCAAGCAATTAGTAATAAAAAGAGGGAAATAAAACAGATCCTGTAGAATCCAGAATACCTACTTAGAGAACCTGTACTCTAATAAGATGGAAAACACAGAAGAAATGGACAGACTGCTACACACATATGAATTACCAAAACTGAATCAAGAAAATGTAAAAATTCTAAATAAACCAGTAGCAGTCAATCAAATTGGAAATGTAATTAAAAACTTACCAACAAAGAAAAGCCCAGCTCCTGATGGATTCATTGTTGAATTCTTTAAGAAATTTACAGAACTAATGCCACTAATGCTTAAACTCTTTAATGAAATTGAAAGGGAAGCAATATTTCCAAAGTCATTCCTAGAAGCAAGTACTATCCTGATACCAAAACGAGAAAAGGACTCAACCAAAAAAGAGAACTACAGGCCCGTAAGATCCCAGCAAACAGAATGCAGCAAATCATCAAGAATATTATACACCATGACCAAGTAGGATTCTCCCTAGGAATGCAGGGATGGTTGAATATGTAAAAATCAATAAATGTAACACACCATATAAACAGAAGCAAGGGCAAAAAAAAAAAAAAAAAAAAACCCCAAAAAAAAAAAAAAAGGGAAAAAAAAAAAAAAAAAAAAAAAAATCACACAACTATCTCAATAGGTACAGAAAAAGCATTTGACAAAATCCAACATCCATGCACGATTTTTGAAAAATTCTAAAGAAAACAGCAATAGATTTTTTTATCTCAACCTGATAAAAGCCATCTATTAGGGGCTGGGATTTAGTTGAGCAGCACAGCGCCTGCCTGGCAAGCACAACGTCGTGAGTTTGATTCCCGGTACCGAAAGAAAAAAACAAAACAAAACAAAACAAATAATAAAAGCCATCTATTACAAGGCAATAGCCAATGGCAAGAAGCCGAAAACTTTCACTCTAAAATCAGGAATAAACCAAGGATCCCCCCTATCACCACTGCTGTTCAATACAGTTTTCAAAATAATTGCTAGAGGGCTGGGGATTTAGCTCAGCGGCAAAAGCGCCTGCCTGGCAAGCGCAAAGTCATGAGTTCGGTTCCCGGTACCGGAGAAAAACCCAAAAAAAAAGAACAAAATAATTGCTAGAGCTGGGTGTGGTGGTGCATGCCTATAATCCCAGCACCTGGGAGGCTGAGGCAAGAGCATCACTATAAATTGAAGGCCGGCCTTGATTATATAGTGAGTTCAAGGCCAGTCTGAACTACATAGCAAGACCCTATCTCAAAAAAACAAACAAACAAAAATATCGCTAGAGCAACTAAACAAGAAAAAGAAATCAAAGGGTTATGGATAGGCAAGGAAGAAGTCAAATTATCATTATTTGCAGATGAAATGATCCTCTACATAGCAGAACATAAAAACTCTACCAAATGACCCGCAGAATTAATAACCAAATTCAATAGTATAGCTGGATTCTTATGGCTTATATCTAGATGTCCATGCAAAGCCTCATGTGCTCATAAGTGCAGCTTTTGGGAGCTGATCGGATCATAAGTATATGATACTGGATCATAGGTGCATGGTACTAGATTAGTCCACTGACTGGCTTAGCATAGTTCTGGGTATGAATAATGGACTCCTGGAAGAGGGAAGACCCATTCTGGGTGTGGGGAGCACCAACCAATAAGCTTGTAACCTGGATGGAATAAAAATGGAAAGAAGAAAGGCTTGTTCCTCCTGCCTGCCACACCATGAACTGTTTCTCCTCTACCATGACCCTCTCCAATGCTGCCCTGCCTTGGAACCAGCCAACTCCAGACTGTAAGCTCTATAAACTGTGAGCTGAAGTAACTTTCCTCTTTAACTTATGGTGTGGAGTATTTTTTCCCAGGAGGAGAAAGTAACTAAGACAAGGATACAAAAATCAACACTCAAAAATCAATAGTGTTTCTCTATATCAATAACAAATTCACCAAGAGAGAAATTAGGGAAATAACACCTTTCATACTAGCACTAAAAAATGAATTAACCTAACCAAGGAAGTGAAAGACCTCTACAACGAAAACTACAACACTCTGAAAAAAGGTAATCAAAGAGGATATCAAAAAATGGAAAGCTATCTCCTGTTGCTGGATAGGCAGAACCATATAGTAAAAATGACCATATATTTAAAACTGTTATAAATATCTAATGCAATCTGAATCAAAATATCAATAGCATTTCTTACAAAACTAGAGAAAGCAATCCTAAAATTCATATAGAACCAGAAGAAATCCAGTATAGTAAAAGCAATTCTGGGTAACAAGGGCAAGGCAAAGGGCATCACAATCCCAGACTTGAAGTTATGTAGTGATTATAACTTCAAGTTGTACAGTGATTAAAAAACAGCATGATACTGGCAAAAACAAAAACAAAAACAGACTTAGGGATCTGTGGAGCAGAATAGATGATGCAGAAACAATTCCAGGTACATTCAGCTATGTTACCTTCGACAAAGGGGCCAAATACTTTCACGGGAAGAAAGACAGGCCCTTTAGTAAACATTGTTGGGAAAACTGGCCACCTATATGCCAAAGATTGAGCCTAGACCCATATCTCTCACCATGCATTTAATTGAAATCAAAATGGGTCAAAGAACTCAATATCAGAACAGAAACAATCTGCTGGAAGACAAAACAGGTAAAATACTTGAAGACATTGGTGTAGGCAAGGACATTCTGAACAGAACACTGGTTGCACAGGAAATAATACCAAGAATCAACAAAAGGGATTAAATCAAATTTAAAAGTTTATATACAGCAAAGGAAACAGTGGCATAGCTAGAGTTTATGCCACTTTGGTGGTTCTTTAATTTGCCATCCTCCAACATATCTGAGTATGTTAACCTATTTAAATACCACTCAAAAAAATGTGCTACATAGGGCAGACTGCTGTACCCACCCACCCACCTTCCGAGCTATACCACTGAAAGGAAACCACCAATAGAATGAAAAGACAATCTACCAAATGGGAAAAAAAATTCTGCCAGTTACTCCTCAAAGGACTAGTATCTAGAATATATAAAGAACTCAAAAAAACTAGACCCTCCAAAATTTAAAGACCTTATCCAAAAATGGGTATCTCAAATGCATAGACACTTCTCAGATGAAAAAATACAAATACCAAATAAATACATTAAAAAATGTTCAACATTGCTGACCATTCTCACTCCAGAAAGAATGGCTACCGTTAAAAAATCAACTAATAATAAATGCTGATAAGACATGGGAAAAAAGGAACCCTTCTCCATTGTTGATGGGAGTGTAAACTGGTACAACCACTATGGAAATCAGTATGGAGATTCATCAAAAACTAAAAATAGAAATTCCATTTGACTCAGCTGTTCCCTTTCTAGGTATCTTCCCCCAAAAGTTAAAGGCATCATACCACAATGATGTATGCACACTCATGTTTATAGCAACACACTTCATAATAGCTAAATCTTGGAAGTAACCTGTATGTCCATCAACAGAATAATGGATAAAGAAAATGTGATATTTATACATAATGGGGCATTTAACTCTGCCATAAAGGATAAGCTTCAGTTATTTGTAAGAAAATGGATGCACCCTGAGAACATGTTAAATGAAATAAATCAGACACACAAGCTTACATATCGCATGGCTTCTCTTATATAAGAAACTCAATATAAAAATAAAGTGCAAAATGAAAAACAAATAAGAAAAAAACAGTTCATAGGAAGAGAGAGAGAGAAAGAAAGAAAGAGACAGAGAAAGTTATTATAATCCAGCATGGACAGTGTATATAAAAGTGTATCTTACTCCGCTTATGTATTTTGTATGTTTTTTGGTCTATTAGTGTACTTATTAATCTCTATGTGTGATAATTAACCTTATAAGGACTTATAAAATAAACAAATGAATCTGATGCTGGCAAAAAGGGTGGGTGAGGTTGAGACAGCTTATGCACATGTACCCATTCCCTTACAAAGAATGTAATCATTATGTACTACAAACATGCAATAATAAAAAATAAAAATAAAAACAAATTATAAACATTAATTGTATCCCAATTTTAATATGTCCAAAAATATTAGAGAAAGTTTTTTAAAGTCAAAAAAACAATAGTGATAAGCTTTATATATTCTAATATAAAAATGTTTTAACTGAAATATACTTAAACTACTATCTCAGATGCCTATATAAGCCTTACCTGAAAGAGTCTTTTGATATGAAACACACTGATGTCTCCACAAAGAAATAGCAGATCTCTCTCGATTTTGCAGTCCATTTAGTCTTTCTGCTAGCCCGCCTCTGTTTAATGAATTACAATGTATTAAGTTTAGTTAGAAGAAAAGCTTCAGAAGAGCTAGAATTTATATTTTATACTCTCCAACCAGAGAGAGATAAAACATGCAACACTTTAATGTATTTTTCATACTAAAATTTCTTCCAAGAAGCCATATTCTCCTAGGTCAGTTTTTATTTTTCTTGGAAGTTGAATTTCCTGATTCTTAGAAATATGAGATAATAGTATCTAAGAGTACAGTATCATAATCTTAAAAATATGACAGTTAAGTATCAGTTAAGCTTCTATTCTTAGTTCATTTACTCATTTCATAAATATGCACAGCTTACTGTTACCTGCTATATGCTGGCACTTAACATTTTGCTAATTAATAGAACAGAATAATAACTTTGTACCATGCTATAGAGGAAGTCACAATGTGTTCAACAGATGGAGGCAAACATAAAGTGGATTCAGAGTTCCACTCAAGAATAACCTTGCCGTGTATCTGCACAATTTATAAGACCTAAATTTTGGAAATGGCCTACATGCTCATCAACAAATGAACAGATAAAGAAAATGTGGCATTTATACATAGTGAAGTACCATTCTGCCATAAAGAAGGATACATCTGAAGCATTCACAGGTAAATGAATGCACTTTGAGACCATAATAGTAAGTGAAATAAATCAGATACACAGGCTTAAATACCACATAGTTTCTCTTAATGAGAAATCCAAAATATAAATAAAAAGCAAAATAAAAGATAATGGGAAATAGGGAGATCTTTATCAAATGGAAAAGGGAACAAGAGATGGAGTAAAAGAGGAGGGAAGGGAAGGAAAAAGAAGTAAAGAAGGGCTGGGGATTTAGCTCAGCGGCTAAAAGAGCCTGCCTGGCAAGCGCAAGGTCGTGAGTTCGGTTCCTGGTACCGGAGAAAAACAAAAAAAAACAACAAAAAAAAAAGAAGTAAAGAAAACAAAATGGAAATAGAACTTTGTTTAAATAGAAAGGGGAGAGTTGGCAGGAACAAGGAAGGATGGGAAGAGGTGGGAATGAAAAATAGAATTAAGACGTGTTATGTACATGTACCAACTCCCCATGATAAATGTAATCATTATTCACGGCAAACATGTTCCAATAAAAAAATAACCTTGCCACACTACTGATAGGTGCAACACTCAAGTGAGAGTATTTAGAAATAGGCCCATTATTTGAACTCTGGAAATAGAGTATCAATCACAAACACATAGCAAGGATTACAATATTATAAAAAATCTTCCATGGATGGTAGGAAGGAAATGCATAACAATTTGCATATAGGTACTTCATAAGGGCCCTTATTTATCAATGAATATGCATATTCATCGATGAATATATTCATGTTATAAATTTATATATAAAATATCTAAAATTATATAAGTGTACACACATATATAGACACACAGAGAGAAGTCAGAAGCTCCTATCCCAACTATAATCTCAAGAAAAAACAAGATCAGTTGTTAATCACCATGATGGCTACATACTTATCAATGTATTATCCCACATTAATCATTTCATTGCACTATCTGGTTTTATTCAAATAATGTTCTCTTTAGGTAGAATGACAGATATCAATATTTACATCACAGATGATAAGATCAGAGGAGAGAGGTAAAGAACATCTCCACTGTTACACAACTAGCTTAGATGAAGAATCAGTTGTTAAAAAAAAAAAAAAAAAAAAGAATCAGTTGTTACAACCCAACAGAACTTTATATAGCACCTGACATTTATTAAACCTCAAGAAATGTCTATGATTAGTGTCACTGTCCTTGCTACGGCTTTTAGTTAAACTCTATTTTTTATACTATGATTGAAATTATCATACTTATTATCACTATACAAATACATATTATACTTAATATCTTTACCCTATCCTACTGTTTTCCTATTGGCAGTAATTATTTCTGAATGTGTTTATGTGTTTGTGCAGCTTACACAACACAAAATTTTTTTTTAAATCTCCCATACTAATATACTAAGGAACTTCCACTGAAACATCAGATATCTGCCCACGGTGAACTGTCTAATGAGTGGCATAGCCAGCTGCCTGACTAGGTGGCCTGGCTGCACAGTTCATGCACTCAGTGTTGATAATATGTCTATCTCCTAATATTACAATTAATATTAAATATAATATATTAAATATTAAGTGTAATATTTAAAGTATAATACTTAAAAGTGTAATATTTAAAATTATTTTTATAATATAAATATAAGAAAAAGGTAAAACACTGTATTCTTTACAAACTAGATAATTCTTTGCCAATCTTTGTTCTCAACAGTATGAATTTACAGAGCAAAAAAAGAAGAAGTAAAATCCGAAAGTAGCTGCTTAACGTGCAAACTAAACCCCCGTTAAAAACCTGCAGGAATTATAGAATGAAATGAAAAAGTGAGAGTGAACATGCACAAAGAACCTGTCAGCACATGGGAAGATCTGCATCCTTGGACAAAAATCTGTGACTGTAGCTGAGTTTAGGAGCTAACTAAGGACTATGAGGGTGCCTCACGGGTCACCTGCTTTCCCTCTCCTCCAGACACGCCCACAGAATTCCCACATGGAATTCTGGTCAATGTACCTCAACTTAGCAATGGAAACACCATGTTCTTTATGAACAACCCTATTTCTGTAAGTCAGACACAGACAGACAAGTATCAGATGTTTTCCCTCATAAGTGAAACTTAAATAAATACAGAAGACCTGAAAGTAGAAGACAGACTATAGGGAAGGGAATAAAGACAGGGGAAAGAGGGAGAAAGGGGGCCCTGGAGACCTCAGCACAGGAATGTGTCTGATAAGATCTTTGATATTTGCTTATGATAAAGCAGGTACATTCTGGCTTAGCTGAAGTCACTTTCGTCCTAACCACTTTATATATCCCCTTCGTCTAACCTAAATTATGGGACCCACAGGTTGCACTGCCCCCCAAGACTACACTTCTGTCAGTAAGTACCTGCTAAATTACACTCTACGGAAACCAGGATCCATCTATCTCTTTCTTTGATCTCATGACACTTTGGACCAGTTCTCATACACCAGGACTGTGTTTTTCTACAACACACATTATAGCCGTGTGTCTTATTTTATGAGAACAAGATACAGGGAGCCGACATGAACTTCCTCAGCTGTTACTCTCATCTCACTAGACTCTGCCACATCCCTATGCTGACATCCTCAGGACAGGCTCTGCCCTCCTGATCTGCCTCCCTCGCTTCCTCTCCAGGAGCCAACAGACCATTACCTTACCCTGTGCCTCTATCAGCCTGTATCACTGTCTCAGATACTGTCTCTCCTAATCTCTGCGACTTCTCTAGAGGCTGCAGCCCTCTTAGGCCACTAGCAGCTAACCCTCAATCCCAGCACAGGAGACCACGGCACCACCCCCATTCCTTTCACCACACAGTCCTCTAGCCATGGGCTCTCCTCATCATGGATAGTCGCATAGTGTTTTCTCACTTTCACTGGGTTTTTAAAAAATGATTGTTTGGTTCTTATTCAACAAAGACACCTTGTATGACACAGGGTAGAGACAGCTCCTTGCAGGCTCTTTCACACATCCTTTTTGGCCTGCCTGCTTCTCTGATGACAGGAATATTCCTCCACCGTGGCTCTCCACATCCACACCAGCTGTATCTTGTCCCTGAGTCTTGGCTCTCACCCTTGCATTTGCAAATGCTGCCCTGGCTAATCTCCCGCACCATATTCATGAAAGTAACCTGATATGGTCGGTATTTATGACTTCTCTCTTTAGATTATAAATTACTAAAGGACAGAACAGTAAACCATTTGTCTCTGTTTTCTGAGACAGCACCTGATCACTGATCTACAGTAGGATTTGATAAGCCACGCAACAAATCTCTGTCAGGCAGAAGCAGTCATGTAAGTTGGTCATCGCAAAATCCATGAACACTCAGCTTGGATAAACAATTTCAAGAATCAGCTGCAGGACTTGGGACTTCAATAATTGCTTATCAGAAGTAGAGAACTGTAATTCTTCCAATTTTCCTTCCCAAGTAAACAAGTGCTTTAAAGTTAACATTTCAGATATTTGGATTTCTTAAAACAGGAAACAAGTACTTTAAAAGATATAATTTAACCTTAGAAGTTTCCTCTTCTTTGCTGAATCTTCTGGAGTCCTAGAAAGCTTGGCTGTCTGTTTCTGGGGTGTACACAAGATGGGTTCTGGTGATTTCACCCTTGGGTTGATCACTGTGTCCATCAGCTGCCTTGTGTCCAGTCCAACATTCACGTCACATTTGTGAGGGGATTCTGAATCAATGAATAGGACATTCTCTGAGTCATCTTCTTTTTCACTATGTGATGAATACTCCAAAATTTCTGTAGAAGTTGGCTGGGAAAATTAAGAGAAACATAATTAAATATTTTTTATTTGAGCCTACACAAATCTACACCTATTGTGCTAATTCATTATGACTAAACTTCTTAAAATAGCTTCTTAATTATAGTATGTGTAGCGTGGATCTGTTTTGACACAAAATCCAACAGTAACCAAGTATAAGGACAAGAGGTTAAGCCAACTGTAACTCAGATATTATCTCATAAAATTTACTGAAATCAGTACAAATATATTTCTACCTTGATTTGGGAAGATAAAAGACATTTGCCACAGGTATATGTGGTCTCTAAAACTGAACTAATAACACTACCTGAAAGGCTGATGATAATCACTGTAATCTGACTCTTATTAGGAAAAAATATTTCTTGGATTTTAAAATATGTGATCACCAGGCATGGCAGCTTGTAATCCTAGCACTTGGGAGGCTGAGGTAGGAGGACTGCTGTGAGTTCAAGGCCAGCCCGGGCTACATGGTGAGTTCAAGGTCAGTCTCAACTACATAGTGGGACACTGTCTCAAAAAAAAAAAAAAAAAAAAAAGAATACTGATTTGACAAAAGAAGAGACTGTACAGAAATATATGGTAAAAAAAACTATATTCTTGGTAAGGACATGCTTTGAAGAATAAATGGTAGGTGAATGATAATCTATAATAATCAATTTTAGGCACATGTGATTTAGGCTGTCATTAATGAGAAGAAATGATTAGTTATTTCTCATATATTATATGAGTATACTGAATATGTAGTATCCACATAGTATCTTAGCTTGTATAAATAATACAAAGAAATCTTCAGGCTTATCCTTGCTGTAGTATATTATGGTCAATTTAAAACCTGGAGGTAGAGGACCAACTGAAACTACAAAGCAATTTATAGGCAATTCCCGAAAAGTGTGCATACAACAGAAGAATGAAGACGAAAGATCACTTGAGACAGTAGTAGCCTAGACTGTCTTTCCCAGGAAAACTAACCCTGACACTCTCCCAGCCATGGCCTTACCTTTACTATCAGGCAACAGTAGGCAAGTGGCTTAACTTCCTCATGCCTTTGCTTCATCATTTTCAAATGGAAGATGTAACATCTAACATAGTAAGCACCTTGTAGAAGTTAGCCATTCTTTTTAGTCCCATGATAGTTTAACCATGTATTTTACCTTTATATTTTATATTTTTCACATTATATTTATAGTTCTGTAAAGATTTTATTTCCAAGAGGACTTCTACACAATGGTCAGTGAGAAACACAATGAATAATGTCTGCAGCAGATAATCAAAAAGACACTGTATTAACCAGCCAAGCAAAGCATATATGTATCACATAGTCTTTTTTAAAAGAATTAAGGTATAGTGAGTAGAAGCCAACTCCCCTCAAGCCCATCACCCTAGATGAAGGTGGAGGAACCCTCCATGCATGGACAGAGAGGACCTTACAGACCTAAGGGACACCAGCTGTCTTGGCCTAAGCCTGGCTGTGAGGAACGTGTTCTTTTGAAAAAGGAGAGTGTGCACGTGCGTGCACAGATGTGTGTCTGCCAAGGAGATAAAGATACATCAAGAATGTCCACAGATTCATATGTTCAAGCTTCAGTTTCACCCCTATGTTACAGAATCAGATTAATGTGAAATGAAGGGCCACGAGTTTTTGGACAAGAAATACTTTTTTGTGGCACTGGAAACTGAATCCTATGCCGAGTCTCCTTCTTGGCACAAATTCCCACCTTACTGTAGATGCTTAATCTTTTTTCCTAGACAGTACTCTGGAGTCTAATTATGCTACTTTTATTTATCTATTTTAGTGTTGGAAAACAGTTTTACAAGTTTCCACATTACAACAGTATTGTGGAACAGTGGTCCCCAAAGTTTTTGGCACTAAGCACTGACTTCATGGAGGAGAATTTATTTGAGTGAGCAGGGTAGAGGGGTGGCTTAGGGGTTAGGTTTTCACGAGGAGTACGCAACCCAGATCCCTCGTATGCACAGTTCACAGGAGGGTTCATGATCCTATGAGACTCTAATGTCACTGCTGATCTGACAGGAGGTGGAACGCAGGCAGGAATACGAGCCATGAGGAGCTGATGTAAATATAGTGAAGCTTAGCTCACCAGCCTGTTGCTCACCTCCTGCTGTGAGGTCCAGTTCCGAACCAGTACTGGTCCATGGCCCAGGGATTGAGGACCCCTGCTATAGCACACGTGAACTGAGCAACATATGCCAGTTTCTCTGTGGTGTGTACCAACCCAGCCGCTTACCGGACAGTCAATTCATTCTCAGTGTAACCTGTAATTGTGAGATGGCTCTTAAGAGCCACTGTCCTAAGAAACACACATACCCACTAGTAGTGTGTGAAACCTACAACAATCAGCCTACTATTTTTAGGCTTCTAAATTTTTATCGGATGGATATAAAATGGTATTTCTCTCATTTGCATGTCCCTAATAATTCATAGGGTTGACCATCTTCACATTTGTTTATCAGCTCTTCCTATGTCCTCTCCAGTGAACTGCCTGCCAGTTCATATATCCTGACCTGAAAGACAATGAGTTTTTTAATTACCTGATTTATGTGTTACTTAGATAGAGGTTTATCAAAAATTGCTAATTTAAAAGTAACGGAGGAAAAATCTAGTACAAAACATGGGTATCTGCCTAGTACCTTAAGAAAATTCTTCTAACCACTATTATTCTTAGTAACGTTGCTACAGAACAATGTTATGCACTTGGAAAAAATTATTGGTTGGAAAATTTATTCCTTAGTAAATAAACTTTATTAACAAGTGAACTACTTTGTATAAATGATAAACTTAAACACCAATAAAGATTTAAATAATCTTCTTTTAAACACTTACATTTTCCAATATTTTCCCCACTATCTTCAAAAAGCTAATCAACTAGTGTGCTCTTAAAACTTTTAAGGAAGATGTTTTCTTCATGTTTAAAGCCTGGTTATAGAAATTGTACAGAAGAGTAAGTATGGATCTTTTATAGCAGAAAAACTACAGTGCTCACAAAGGAGAATTAGCTGAAGAATATAGCTATTGTCATTATTTGTTAATGTTTATAATACAATACAATTATTACTACTAGAATTCTTTTTTTTTTTTTCCTGCCCTAAGGAACTTCAGAATGAGCAACCCTCTCAATTAGTAATTAAATGACACAACTGACAGGACTAAAATACAAGTATGGAGTAGTTCCTTTGAAACCACCAAAGACAATCACCTGGTACTCTTTCCAGGACAGCCTAGCTCTCCTTGGTCATTGCTTACAATTTACCAGAACTAACCACAGTCCATGGAGGGGGTAGCCTTCTACCTCCAGGTGGCCACAGGGCCCTTCTAATTATGCAGTTATGTAGCTACCTGAGGTTGAGGCTACTTTACCTAAGGGAGATAACTGACCGGAGCTAAACTAATCAGATTCTTTTCAGCCTGATTTTGAATTGAAGGATATGGATATGGGAAGTAGAAGTTAAACCACACTAATTACAGTTCTCTAGATGACAACTTCATTAGCTCCTACTGGTGAGTTTCCTGGGGCTGCACTGAAGCTCAATTCATCTTTCAGCTCTATTTTGGATTCTTCAGTATACACAGTAATGTTTCAATAACTTTCTCTTAAAACAAGCAGGCTAAATATCTGCTTAAATATCTCCAAATAGAGAAAATATTCCACTAAACAAATGTATTTATTCAGAACACACCATGTGTAAGGTGTTATGCAAGACACAAAATTTAGTAAGTTACGAACCACTAACTTAAAACAAAATAAAGAAGATAATACATGCTTGGCTCACAAGAAGTGCTACACAAAGACAGAACGGCCCTCTTCCTTCTGGCTGATCAGAGACCCGCAGACACATACAAAGGGGTGATACACACTGGAAAAGGCCTCAAAAACCTGAAAAATTCTTAGCTGGAGATACAAAAGGTAGAAAGAAACCACATAAAGGAAAGAACAATGGATATTTCTGACACAGAGACAGGTCCAGAGGAGGGAAAGTTTAGAGTTCACAACTAGGAAGCAACAGACACTAACATGCACAGCATAATCTGCAGGTTAGGTGAGGAACAAGCTGTGGAGAGTCTTAGTTTAAGAATTTAGATATCTTCTGAAGAAAGCTTCGGATCATTTCTGACTAGGTGAGGAGGATAAACTCAGAAGGTACTTAAAAAGACTTCGGGAAGGCTACATTAAGGTGGAATTGAAGGGAAATATTAGCATAGGGACAATTCATACAAAATTACTGCAAATATATATGCATATTTTTTCTACTTTTTAGTTTTTCAACTGCTCTCAAATGGTACAGTTCACATACTAATATCTCAATTCAAGAGGTTCAAAGTTAAACTTTTAGTATATTCCCCAAAACTAACTGTTTGCCCCACTATGCCCTTGTTGGTAAGTAACATCACAGTCCACCCAAGCGCTCAAGTCAGAAATCCAAACCTCATCATCAGTAAGCTCTACCTCTACGAACTCAGAGGTGCCCCTGCTCTGCATCCTGGTCACCAGCCAGCACCATGACAGAAACGCTCCCAAGCCTGATTCTGCTTTACTCTATCCGCCCCACCCTTGAGCCACCCTTCACAGCACAATCAGAATAACCTTTCACTGTACATCAGATCATTCCACCCTTCAGATTCCATAAATGACTCTCTGGGGCACTCATGGCTACGGTCTACAGGGCCATGCATGGCCCCTTCTCTTTCAGGCTTCTGCCTGTGGGTCTGTCCATCTCCAGGATGGTTCTCATATACCTGAATACTTTTTTATTCCAAGTAGAATTGATACTGTTAAATTTAAAGGATTTTCCTTAAGCTTGTTTTTATCAAGGAAAATGCTAAAAAAAGGAAAAATGAAGGGCAATTACTCCTACCAGAAAATTGTTTTGTACCAACACCAGAACAGACAAACCAATGAAGCAGAACTGAGAACCTAGAAATACACCCAAACACATACAAGACATATAAAAATTATCGCAAATATAAATGGGAC